GCAATAGTACTGTATATACCTTATAATGATGTGTTTATCTTCTCTGAACTGAATAATTTTTAAAATAAAACAAAAATGCATAAGTGCTGACAGTTCAGGAAATTTAACTTTTATATCCTCAGTAGAATCAAAATAGTTAAAGGCAGTAAATCCCCAATCCTGCAAAGACTTACAAATATGCTTAACTTTATGAATAGCCACATAGAAGTCACTCTAGGGCCAGGGCCTAGACCATCAAGTCCATTCCTCTGCAAGAACATGGCTTAATCCCACAATAGAAGACATCAGGTTGTTAAAAAAATGTTTATGCTGAAGTTTAGCCAAAAATGGCAATTTAATACACCCTTAAGTACTCATTTTACTAGCAATTTGGGAATTGCAACAATCTTTGGGTTAAAGGACTAGTCTTTCACCTCAACACTTGGGTTTCTAAATCAAATGTGAAAGTGAGTTTGTGATTTTATTCTCATCCCCAAAGAACATTTGTCCACCCTGCAAAAGCCAGCACAATATTTGATGACAATCTGGCAAGCCCGGACTTGAGACATCCAGAGCTAGAATTTCAGGAGTGCTGAACATGCACAATGCGGTACACTGGCAGAGCTGTGAGAAAGATTTCGATAGTACCTGCCAGTACTACCCAACTCTGACCAGAGCTGTAACAGGAACATATTTATATAAATTTTCAATTACAAAAATTAAGCATTAAGTCATTTGTCAGTATAAATCACAAACAGAAGAGAGATCTAAACAGCAGGATTCGGAGTAAAGCTTATCAAGATAACAGTCAATCATATTTAACTACAATCTATATGATGCAAAATATTTTATCAAGAGTGCAATGATTTCAAAATATTTATGGGAGCACTCATCCATCTACAAGCTTTAGAAAAAATATGTGTATGTACTTAGGAGATTGAAAGTTCAGCATTTTTTCCTCTAGAAAGGAGGCAGCAGAAAGGGCACAGTAAGGAAAAGAATGAGTGATAATGAAAAACCATTAGAGTAGTTGTAATTCAGTGTTTCATCATATATTGCATAAACAGAACATCTCTTTTGAATGAAAAGGCAGGTTAATAGTTCTTTTGACATTCAAAGTCCTCCTGGAATTAAATCAACTGCAATCTTTAAGGACAAATATTTTATCTGAAAATAAATATTGGAACTGGGTAATATATTGGGGTTTTTTGACAAGTAAACTGATCACTTCAATTACTTTTCTGGATAGTCAATCTGTGCTTGCCTCAAGTTTATTTCAGGACGTCACTGGAAGTAATAGTTCACTAAAAAAAGCCTACATTATTATCCTGAAGACTTCGTCCACAAAGTACGTATGAGAGACATGAGACTGACAATAATGTTACAAAAAGCTAAGCTTAGTTAAAACGGTATTGTAGTGCAAGTCGAGAGAAATCAATAAAAAAGCAGAGGTGAAATTCTTTTGACCCTTTTGAAGTCAATGGCAAAACTCCCTTTGATTTCAATAGGGCCAGGATTTCACCCCATGTCTTCACTGGTCTCTATTATAGCAGATACTCTTGTTCTGATCACACACCCGTTTTCCACCAGTGTAAGAGGAGCATAGGCGCCGACTTCCCCTCGACCCCCCCATCCAGGCCCAGACCCCACTCCACCCCTTCCCCCAAGCCCTCGCCCCCACCCTGCCCTGCCTCTTCCCGCCACTGCTCCGCCCCCACTCCACCCTTTCCCCCAAGTCCCTGCCCCGCCTCTTCCCACCCCCTCTCCTGACCGTGCCCCATCCCCACCAGAGCCGACCTGCATGCTGCAAAACAGCTGTTCATGGCAGGTGGGAGGCGCTGGGAGGAAGGGGAAGGGAGTGATCAGCGGGGGAGAGGCGCTGGGGGGCAGGGAGAGCTTGGTTGCCGGTGGGTGCTCAGCACCCAATAATTTTTCTCTGTGGGTGCTCCAGTCCTAGAGCATCCACGGAGTCAGCACCTATGGTATAGGGCCCTCTTTCTAAAAGAAGAATTAAGATTCAGTGTTGCTCATGTCTTAACCTCCCTCACACTAGTACAAAGTTAAACTCTTTCAAAACAGTTTACGTGGTTATGTTAAACCATTTTCATAAGTGTGTGGGTCCTCTGGGACCCAGTTCAGATGTGCTTTATAATGCCATCATAGGACAGAGTAAGAAACTTTAGGATTCTTTACTATATGATAATCAAGTGTATTCCAACTCTGATTTCTGACACAGTTTATACCAGTGGTTTACAGTTTATACCATGCAGCCCATCAGGGTAATCTGATAGCAAAATGTCTCCCGGCCCGCAGACGTTGACTGTCCGCAGGCACGGCCTCCTGCAGCTCCCAGTGGCCACAGTTCGCCATTCGCAGCCAATGGGAGCTGCAGGAAGTGGCGGCCAGCACATCCCTACAGCCCACCGCTTCCCACAACTCCCACTGGCCAGGAGTGGCGAACCGCAGCTGTGAGGGGCTGTGCCTGATGGTCAACATCAGCAAAATGTCTCACGGCCCACAATCAGATTACCCTGATGGGCCGCAGGTTGCCCACCACTGGTTTATACTGACCTGACCTGCATTAAGCAGTTTGGAAGAACCACTGCAGCCAGTAACATGCAGGCACTAGGTTCTGTGCTGTGTTTTGAGGGATTGCCTGGGAGCACCAACTCCTAATGCTGATCTGCAACAAACTTTGCTAAAGCTCTGTTTAGACTACAACTAAACCAGGTTACTTATATTTAAACCGCACTTGAAATTAAGCCATTACCAAAAACATCAAGTACAGCTCAACCACTGTTCTTTAACACATTTCTGAAATGGATTTTAAAACCTATGGGTTGCACCAACATATTAGGCAGTGTGGCCAAGTGGGCAAAGTACTGACTTGAACTCTATTCCAGCTCTACCATTGATCTCCTGGGATACCTTGGACAAATCACTTCACCTCTATGCGTGTTTCCCCATCTGTAAAATGGGGATAATAAAACTTCCCTTTGTAAAGTGCTTTGAGATCTAATGAGGAAAGTTGCTCTATAAAAGTGACATGACATCATTAACTATTTCTAAACTTTACCTTCCTTAAGATGGTTTATAACTTGTAGTATGAAGTGGGCTTTATAGGCCCCATCTGTGACCATGGTGCCCACCACTAACAACTGGCAGAGCCCCCCGCCCCCCACATAACATAACTCACATCAAGCCTGGCACACTCATTGTTGTCATAAGATATAACTCAAAGGTGTCACATAAGGTATTTTATGTAAACTGGTGACATGCTGGTCATGAGTATCATTGCATGATGTACACACAGCTGGGGTGTAAAGAATTGTGCCTGTGTGCTGAAAACGTGTTCCTAAAATATATTTTGAGGGCAAACTTGATAAACAAGTTTGGCTTGGACAAAGGACTATGGATTCACCTATTTGTCCTCTGGCTTACAAAGCTTGACCCATTGAAAGCATATTTACATATAAGGTAAATAAAGCCATCAAGCTAAATGAACAGAGGAGAAGACACTTAATCACATTGGGGGAGGGGGACAACAGACTCCACATCCCTAAAAAGTTTTCCTGGCTCTTGAAACAGAGACAATAGACCTTGGATAATATAAGGGGGGGAGGGGGCTGAGGAGACATTTTAATTATCCTTCACTTAGGGGATGAGAGCATACAGCTGCCTTTGAGCCTAGGAAAGCTGGATCCTCTTGAACTGAAAGGCAAGAGTTGCTGGAGACTTAATGTAAGTGAGAAACCTGCTTAGACAAAGATTGCAACTTGCTGAAATTGAGTTTTAATCACTAGGGCTATGTCTACCCTGGCAATTGAACAGCAAAACTTTTGTCTTTCAGAGGTGTTAATTCCCCTCCCTCCCCGAAAGAAAAGTTTTGCAGATGACAAGCGCCAGCGTGAACAGTGCTTTGTCAGCAGGAGCACCCTCCTGCTGACAACGCAAACGCCGCTCATTGGGGGTGGAAGTTTTTTGTCGGCAGGAGAGACGACAAACAGCGGCTACATGGTATGACTTTTAGTGGCACGGCTGTGGCAACAAACACAGCTGTGTTGATAAAAGCTGTGTAGTGTAGACGTAGCCTTAGAAGCATGTTTTGTTTTGTTTGTAACCAGACCTATTTTTTGTACTCACTTAGTATCACTGAAATCTCTGTTCTTTGTTAATAAACTTATTCTTGTTTTATTATAAAACCATCTCAGTGCTATGTATTAAAGTAGAGAGTGAATTCGCAACTAGCCAACAGATTGGTGTGTGCTCTGTCTCTTTGAAGGCAGTGAACTTAATTTCTGGGCGTGTCCAGTGGGAGAGACTGGACACTGCAGAGAGATGTCTCTGGGGAACTCGGGTTCATCGATTGTTACCTGCGGCAAAGTTTAAACTGGCAGTGTCCTCAAGAGTTTGCTGGCAAGGCAGACAAGCTGTTGTGTCAGGGAGCTCACACACATCTTAGCAGCAGCCAACTCTCACTTGCTGAAGCTGAGATGGATATCACAGGGGCTCATAATTCTGGGTACCCCATGCAAGACTCACACCATCCTCACTACAAACATAACTACACATAAAGAGTTGTGAAACACAGTTTGGGACCTAACAGTGTTATAACACAGTATTTTCAGACAGGTCTACATGGACAATTTTTGGGAATCTCCTATTGTTGCACTAACACCCATGTTAACCTTAGTTTTGATTGGAGACCAGTGTTTTAGCACTGCATCATGATACTGCAAACAGGCTTTTATGATCATCATATTCTGCTTACTGCTAAATCTATTTCAGTTCTAGTCAGAAATGAAAACAAATACCATCTTTGTTACAGATGCATAGGTCAGACTGCCACATGCAATATGAAATTAAAATAATAAGATGCTTGTAAGCATAACACATGGATGTTAAAAAATGTGAACTGTGGTGTTCACCACGGCTAGCCACTGTCAAAAACCTGCAGATAAAAAAGACAAGCTTCAGACACAGATGTGCATTAAAAATTGGCAAACATATTAGGCTCTTACCAGAAATGGACTCCAGCAAATGCAAGAGACACACATTATAGCCAATAGCTGAATGATCATTTCAAAATGATGAGATCGGCCTTGTCTTTGTTGACTTTTAAATTTGACTCTTAAGAGAGTAATTCCTGTGACAGCATTGCACAAGAACGAAACAGCAAGGGCTAGTAACCCAAGGCAAGAAAAAAGTAATAGATAAAATCTGTCTTCCCAGTCCTCAATATGTTCTGTTTTATAGAAGCACCAGGTCCTCGATGCTTGAATTTGATATGCTCTAAAGCTAAGAATAGGCAGCAAAGCTATAAAAACAGCAAAGAGACATACCGTAGTCAAAATCATTTTTACATGTTTAGAAGTCATTTTTGTAGAATGAAATATTGGTTTAGTGACTCCAATGCAACGTTCAACAGCCATCACACTGCCCAGAAAGAGAGGGCACAGACCAAAGAATACCATACATATGCCAAAAACACTGCAGAGAATGTTTGATTGATTAAATCGAATCCAGTCTTTGTCAGAGGCATACACAAACACGGCAATAGTTCCATTGATGAGATGGCCAAAAAGATCTGTGACAACCAAACCACTAGCAAAAAGCAAAAAGGATGCTTTTGATTTCTGTCTAAATCTCTGATATGCCTTCATGAGAATTGCTATTGCAAGACTGTTGGATAAAATTCCCACCGTCATGAATATTATTGAAAAGAATACCGAAATCTTATTGTGTGCGTTGCAGGTTGTGTTTCCTAATCCGTCCAGCACTGGTGATTTTGAACTGTTCATTGTTGGAAAAGTAGCTGGAGCACTCAATACATTTCAGCAGTTGTACAATCAAAAGGCAACTGTAAAATTTAAAAGAAAAACATTATAAAAGGCACATCACGCATTTGATATTTGAAACAGATACTCTAGGTAGTTTGTGATGGAAATCTAATTTCCCTGACCTATCATGTGGCATAACATCTTTGAGCATTTACATCAGGTATAAGTGCTACATTTAATAGTGCTGGAGCCCTGCAGAAATTATCTCAAATTAGTAATTCTGTCACACCTGAGACAGTCTCCCAAATCTATCTTGTGTGGAAGTCCACCATAAGATCAGGCACCCATATTCAAAACCTAACATTGTACCAGGCAACTTTATCTCACAACCACCACTAGCAGCATTCTCTATTGCCCACCCTTTGCTACCTGCAGTGGGCAGAGTCCACGATGCCAGCACCCAGGGAAGGAGTCGAGCCATTCTCTCACTCCAGCTGGGGCAGCAGCTAACTCACATCTCTAGGGGAAACCCCTCTGCGCCCTAGCCACAGACAGACCCATGCAAACCGCAGCACAGTAATCTTCCTGCGAGAAGGCGGGACTGGGTAAAGCAAATCCCCCTGCAAATTCGCGCCCCCTTCCCTGATTGCAACGTCCCGCTACAAGAGGCAGCAAGCCTCCGCCAGGCACCGTCCGCGATCGGCCTGGCCACTATCCATCAACTGCAGCTCGACAGCAGCAGCCGCGCTCCGAAGAGCTCCGCGCTCCGATTGCGATGCAACCCCGTGCAAATCACGACAGAACACGCTGGCAGCGGCAGGAGTTCAGTGCGCCTTTCAGTGCAAACTGAGGGGTCTACGTCCCTCTCCTCGTTTTAAAAGCGAGTCTCGCAAAGCCATTTAAATACAGCTAAAGATCAAACAAACCGAGAGAGACGGGGCAGCAATTTACATTTGCCTAAACGCTGCCTTTTGTTAAAGTGGGGGGGGGAGTTGCATTACAGAAACAGACCCTGATATTAAATGAGTTTGGGACCTTGTCAACTCCTACCTGCGCTGAGTGCCCGGGATCGTGCACTGATAGAGCGGCTGGGCGCCTTCCTCTGCCTCTCACGCGAACAGCAGCTCGGGCTGTGCGCATACCGGCAAGTTTGCAAAAGGTGGAAAGTTTCTACGCGCTCCCCAGACCCTCCCTCCCTGCAGCCGGCTCCGCAAAGAGATCGACCAACATCCCACTCCTCCTCGCCACCCTCCCGCCAGCTGGATCAGCTCCGGGGCTTCCCACTCTGCCTTCGGTGTCGGGTACCCATGAACAGGGGAGCCAGCCGCCGCTCTGCCCTTCCCCAGGGGAGAGGGCGAGCCCACCCGCAGCTCTGATCACGGCGCAGCCTACCGAGAGCAGAGCCCACTGGGTATCTTCCTCTTCCCCGCACTGAGACCGCCCGCCCCCCTCTTCATCCCCTCCCGCCCATCAGTCCAGGCGGAGAGTCACGCACAACCCACCCCGCAAGTCCTCACGCCTCTTTGCCTGACTTCCGAAGTGCGGGAGCGTCGCTCTGCCCTGGATCCCTTCAGCCGCAAGACCCTGCAGCCTTCGCCGCCTCTCTGCATTATCGCCAGGCAGGGCCAGTCCTGCCAGCCCTTGAGCGCTTACTTGACCTCCCACGCTGAAGAGCCCTGTTGAAGTCAGGTGTGCAGGAACTACTCACGCAAGGCAGGCTCAGGCCAGCAACTGGACATAATACAACGACCCTGTGAAGTCTCCCATACACTACACCGATAGCTAAAGATGGGCTAGATGAGGCAGTAGAAACCAACGGGAGCAGGAGTCTGCTGCCCTCTGTCCATGAAGCGCTACGTGCGGCAGAAATAATTTCTAAATCCCGGTGAATCCGAACGTTTGAAAACACCAAGGGGAAAAGCGAATGCAAAGTATCATTTTAAAGAGTGCCTCCCGGGTAACCAGCCCACCCTTTTGCTCCCTCGAGTTTGTTAAAGTTGTTCCTATTCAGAAGTGTGCACGAGTTACTGCCCCGCATCCAGCGCCTGAAAAACAGCTGAGCTAACCGTCCCCCTGCATCTCAGGTTGGGTACAAGCCGCCACGTCGAGCTATCGCTTCGTTTCATCTATATTTAAACTGATGTTTATGGTACTGCGGGACATGCTGGAGTGAGTCACACCGTAGGGTTGCCAACTTTGTTTGGACGAATTCCTGGCGCTTTAGGACATCATCTTTAATTAAAAATTAAGCTTTAATTGCTGGAGCCTCCAGGAGAATCCTGGAGGGTTGGCAAGCCTAGTCACAGGGATCCCCATGGCATGGAACTCCCATGGTGGGAGTTCAGCCTTTGCCTGGCCAACCACCTTCGCAAGGGGAGAGCGACTATCCCAGAGTGAAAAATCACTTAGGGCAAGACTAGTCGTCTCTTACTGCTCAGCCCAGGTGCTCGACGCTTTCCCCCGCATTCCTTGCAACACACAGCGCTGCCCTCCAACTTTCTGAACTTTCCATGAGCATTGCTCAAGCAGCAGGCCGGCAGGCGGAGATGGGCTTCTCTGGGGAGAGAGCCTGGCAGAAGCTGCATTCAGCAGAGAGAGAAGTTGCAACAACTGCTCGTTTAAAGAGGCCGGATTTACATGCAGGGCTTTCAGAACAGCCCGGCAGACACGTGCGTCTCCCGCTGCTGGCGGGGAGCTGAACCCTGGTTGTGCAGCTGCCTGGCAGCAGCTTCTGTTTCATTTCCTACCCCTCCCACCCCAGCGCTGTTCTGCTGGGGGATTCCTGGCAGCCCAGTAGCGCCTGGGCTGGAACGGAGGAGAAGTCGCCAACTTGTCAGCGGCGGGCCAGGCTTCCCAGCGACCCTCCCAGCGGAGCCGCTCGCGCCCCGGGCTGAGCGGCGGCGGGAAGCTCCAGCGCTAGCCGGGGAAAGTTTGCCACGCGGAACAGCGGCGCTGTGGGGAAAGCGAAGCCGGGCCGCACATTTACCTTTAGTGTCTCCAGTGGCACGCGGCGCCGGTCACCCACCCCAGCTCCAGTCTCCCGCTGCATGGCGGTGGGGGCTGCGGCAGCCCGTTGCTCCGCGGCGCGCCCCGCTGGCCGCATGCTGCTCTCTCGCACCGCACGGGGTGTGGAGCCTCCTGTCCCGCCGACCCCGAGCCTCGCGCGCGGTCCCTCCCTCGGGGCAGGCGCTAACGTCACGCTATCTGCACCCCCCAAACAGTCCTTCGCGCGGGGGGGGGGTCTTAGGGCCGCTCCTGTGTTGCGTCTCCGCGGGCGGAGCCGGCCACGCACCTGGCGAAGGGGCCTTTGCACCAGTGAAGTGTGAAATAAAAGCCCCCGCCCGCCTTTTCCCGCAGAGATAGTGGGAGGGACGGGGGGTGTCTCATGGATACATCTGGTCCGTTTCCATGGAGCTTGGCACTAATAATGAGCAAGATGTTGCTTGTTTATTTCTGCTGGCAGCTGATTTAATGAGATCACAGACCAATATGTAGCACTTGACATCTTCACAGCCCCGGATAGACAGGGCAGGACTGCAGCCGCCCAGGGCACCCACCCCGCTCAGCCGCCCATCCGCGCGGGCTGAGTCTGTCAGGAGCCCTCAGCTGGGTCTGCCAAGAGCCGGCTTCAGGCAGGGGGATGCTCTGGCCCACCGCTGGGACTTCTTATTGGAGAACTGGGGCCTCTCTTCCTGAGCCCAGTGCTCCTTGGCTTGGCGGGGGGGGAGGGGGGAGGATTCCTGCAGGAGCAGGGAGGCCTCAGCCCTCCCCCTCCAAACAGAGGAGTCTGAGGGGCAAAGGCTGCCCTCCTGCCACCTCATAAGAGGGTCCTGTCAATGGATGCACCTCTTAAAACTGCAGCATAGTCTCTAAGGTGGGTGGGGTGGCAACACAGAGCCCTCCACTGGGCAGGATGGTGTCTACACATCCAGAGGCCCAGGCAGCACAGTCTCCCTCATAAGTGCAGCTTGGTCCAGGCAAGATGAGGGGTGACCCAGTGAAATGTGGCAACAGCAGATGGAGGCCCCCATCATCTGGTAGCTCAGAGGACAGGCAGCAGTGGCAGTTAGATCAACCTTCTCCTTCCTCAGCCACCTAGAAGAGGTAGTGGCAGTGTACTGGAGTCCCCACTCCTCCCACAGCTGCCCAGAGGAACGAGCAGCTTCCAATGATGTTGTCATGTGCTATTGGAGCTAACCTCCATATTGAACTAGACACGGGCTTATTGATTAATCTGAGCCTGCCAATAAATACTATCTAAGTAATCCTCACAGTGCCCCCATATAAATGCTTTTTTACAGGTGGTGAAGCTGAAACATAAGTTTCTTGAACACAACCAGACCATGAGTTGATGGGATGACAGAGCTAGAATTGGGAATCAAGAGTTTCTTACTTCCAATCACATGCTCTGACCACTAGACACTGGTGCCTTAGATCACTTCTGAGTTTGCATATACTATGTCAGGGGAGTATAAACACAGGACGAAGGGTACCTTTGAGGTCTATCTTCCCCTCACTACAGAAATGGTCCAAAATATCACAATTTAAAATTCTACAGTTTATGGCAATTAGGAATACAGTAATATTTTTGTTTGTGTATTTTTATTGAGGAACAACCTCAATATGTGCTCCTGACAGAGGAAGAAAGTTATTTAAAAATTAATTCACAAAGCCATTGCAATTTTTCCCTAATATCAAGCTTTTAGTCTCACTGCTAGCAAAGCAATGTGCCATGTGGCCCGATCCACCAGCTATGTCATGCAAGCCAGCTGAATCCATTTGTATCTCTGGTCACATACATAGAGAGTTAAAAGCACTATGTCTGTTTTTTTCATCCTTATAATATCTTTCAGATTTTGGCATCTTTCTCCCTGATGGGCTAAAGTGACCTAAACTGCAACCACAACAGAAATCATTTCATTTTGATTCTGATCTGATTGGGACCAATACATTCTTGGAAATTCTTTTTAAAAGTATAATAAAATATTCAATTTTATCCTTAACTTTAGAAAAAAAGTGTTGATTCAACATTTTCCAAAGTCATAAACTGAGATGAAGACCTACAATTACAAACTGTTAGCTGTATCATGTCATTAGTTTTTAAGCAAAACTCACCCCTTGAAATGAGTGGGAAGTTCTCTTTAAAAGAAAAAAAGTTGATGACACTGCATAGCCCCATTCTTTATGAAAGGGAAATTTTAAAAAATCATTCTCATTTAGTTCAGGACCAAATTTTGCCAACACTTTTAAAATCTAAAGCCTTGTTCCCCACAAAAACAAAGACACCAGTAATAAGAACTAGTTTAAGAAGGAAAAGACAATTCAAAAGAAAGGTAGCTGCAGGTAGTAAGGCTGCTATTGCAAAAGACAGGCTTTATATATTGCTGATTTGCCTCTGTCATGGATACATGTTTTTTATTCACAACCAACTGCAGGATATAATATACTTCTAAAGTGTATACGCCGTAAAGAATCGTAATTTAGGTGCTGAGCACTGAGAGTTCCCAGTGAAGTCAACATTTCTCAGGATCTGGCTTCTATTAAGGAGGATAAACCCCTTGAGGGTATGTCTACACTTCGAGTTAGGGATGTGATTCCCAGGTAGCACACTGAAAATAGAATGTAGCTGTGGCAGTGCCAGACGCTCGCCAACCAGAGTGCATGCCCGTCCAACACCCTAGGAACATATTCGGGGCAGCTAGCTCCTCCCGCTGCTTGCACTGCTGCCTCTACACTCTACTTTTAGCACACCAGCTCCATGACAGCTGACACCAGCATCTCTCCTCGAAGTGGGAATTACATGCACCCCCAGATTGAAGTGCAGACATACCCTCATAGTCCTCAAGAGAGGAGAAGAAAAACCCTAAGAGAGAGACATTTACTGCTTGCAAAAATACAGTCAAGGGTGGAAAAAAGTATAGGCTTATAGAGCTCATCCAGAAAAGGGCAATGTTCAGTCAAAGGCAGAAAGAGTGAAATTTCAATTCTTACAGAAATGGGATCAGTGAAGGCAAGCAAGCAAAATAACGTCAACTAGAAGCAATCCCCTAGAGACAGCAGCTGGAGAAAGTGCTGTACCTCTGAGGGCTTGAGCCACAGAAACCACAACATTGCAGCTTTGCATGATTCAGGACTGCTGATAGGTAGGCTTTGTAAAGAGACATACAGGTGAATGGGGAAGACATATTTACATCCCAGCCCTCCTCTATAGGCTATTGCAAGTGATGTATCATGCTAGATTAGGGGAAAACTGAAGTGGTAGAGTCCAAGGGAAAAGGTGGTATTGTTTGAGGTGAGAGGGAGCATATAAACTGATATAGTTGGCCAGATCCTCTGCTGGTGTTAATTGGCATTGAGGTCAACAAAACTACAATGATTTACACTAACGGAGGGAGGAGCTGACATTTTATGTTTACAACCAGAAATCAAAACACTCAACAACAAAACAAGGAGAAACAGCACATGTTCACACTCTCAGTTTAACTGTAAACCTATAGCCTTGTCTTCCAAGAGGCAATCTTCCAAGCAATCATCTAATCAGGGGCAGCTCTATGTATTTTGCCACCCCAAGCATGGCAGTCAGGCGGCTTTCGGGGCATGCCTGCGGGAGGTCCAGCTGGTAATGCGGATTCGGCGGCATGCCTGTAGGAGGTCCGCTGGTCCTGTGGCTTCAGCGTACCTGCCGCCAAATTGCCGCCGAAGCCGAATTGCCGCCGAAGGCTCCCAAAACTGCCGCCCCCAGAGCGACCGGCAGGCCGACCCCTGTGGCTTGCTGCCCCAAGCACGCACTTGGTGCGCTGGTGCCTGGAGCTGCCCCTGCATCTAATGAGGCTCCCATGGTCACCTGTGTAAGAAGAGACGCAAAATGAGGCAAGATTAACCTCTTATTCACCAAGGACCAGATGATGGCTCTCCACTCTATCAGCATGCAGTTTGACAAACAGCCATCATATACCTATATTTGAAAGAGAGTCACAGATATAGGACTGCAAGAAAAGCCTTTGGTGCAAGAGCTGTGTGGAGAGACTTAATGGGGTCCCAGTATTGCTCTGGTTTGCGTGAAAGCCAGAAAAAGAAATGCTACATTCTGCCCTTGGATGCATTAACTCCTCTTGACTTCAGCATTTCTGTGTGAATTGGAGAGCAAATTTGCCCCAAAAAGACTGTTTTTGTTTGTTTCTTAGTTGTTTGTTTTGTATTTGTTTATTTTAGATCCCTGACCTCCTGAAGCTGTGAGCCAGTGCAAGAATGATGAAGGTGCACAGCAGTTGTCTGGTTTCTGGTCCAGGCTGGAAACCTTGGTTAAATGTTCCCTGCTTCGTGCATGATATAACGTCTTTGAATACTTGGAGGCAAGACAAAAATAGAGAGGTGTTGGTATAAGAAATATGTAGTGATAAAATGACAGCCTGCATCTCCACTTACTCAGATAATTTCTGTCAACTAACCAAATACCAAGCAAAGCATCCAAAATCCAGATAGTGAAAGGACAGGACAAGAGATTGTTTCTGGACCGAGATGTATGTTTTCTTGTATATTAATTACCTTCAATGCTTCTGTTAAATTTCTGGTGTGGTCTGTTAGTTTACTATTATATTTTTCAGAGTAGCAGCCGTGTTAGTCTGTATCCGCAAAAAGAAGAACAGGAGTACTTGTGGCACCTTAGAGACTAACAAATTTATTAGAGCATAAGCTTTCGTGGACTACAGCCCACTTAGACTCATAGACTCATAGACTCATAGACTTTAAGGTCAGAAGGGACCATTATGATCATCT